AGTCTGCCTGTTAGTCACCACGTGAGGTTTCTCTGTGGGGGCGGGGCTAGCCAGCGGAGACTGGCCTGCCGAGGAGGAGCGGCCACTCCCATCTCCCAGGTGAGGACACTGAGGCTTAGAGAACCTCCACGGGGCTGGGCTGCCACCGACAGCAGTGTTTCCGATGGCTCTGGCCAGCAAACTAGGGCACCTCCCTGCTGAGTGGGTGGCAGGCCCCAAGGTGGGTTTGATGACCCTCCCACCCCCTCCCCATCTCATCATAATGTGGCTCAAACCCACTGCCACCAGTCAGCCGACTAGGGGACCTTGTGCAGGGTTTCTGAGGCTCTGGCTGGGCAAAGGCGCAGACAGCCTCATCCTTCTCTTACGCAACGAAGGTTGGGTTTGAACTGCCCACCTTGCAGTTTGCAGTTAGCGATCCAACACTCACCAGACTGCACTACTTAATCTCCTTACAGGAGGGACCAGCTCCCCTAAATCATGACTATGAGGAGAGGGGTAGGGGAGCACCGGAGAACGCTCACTGCTAATGTGGGGTGAAAATCCAAGTGTCCTTCCCTAGGTTTCTGTCCCGAAGCCCCTCATCTGGAAGGGCACAAGGGCACAGCACAGATGGCCGGCAGCATCTGTCCAGCATCAGCCACCCTGTGTCAGACCGGCCGAGTCTAGAGCCACTCTGCCTGGGCGGGCGGGCTCAGGACGTCATCTCTGGACGGCCAGCACTGGAAACGCTCTGGTTTGCCTGCTTCTGCAGAAGAGAGCCGGGCTCTCGGGGCCTGGGGGCAGCTTTGCCAGCTTGGATTTCCCAGCAGGTCGAATAATCTGCTGCTGTCCTGAACCAGTCTATTCTGACTCTAACAGCCCTACAGGGCAGGGCAGAACCGCTCCCCAGGGCTTCTGAGACCATCCAAAGGCCTCATCTCTCTCCTGATGTGAACCGCTGGCCATGGGGCACACAGCTGAAGGAGTAACTCCCACGGGCACCAGGCCTCAGCATGGCCCTTAGCCGTCACGCTGGGTGGCCCCTCCAGGGCCAGAGGCCCCTGTGGTCTGCAGCAGGCCATCTCCCTCCATGGACCCTCCACCCAGACGGGGTCCAGCTGTTTGCCTTGGCAAGACAGGCCGCTCCATCACCCACAGGACAGCAGCTCTGCCTTGGTGGGTGCTGCATATTCCCAAAGCCACCTTCCACCCGCAAAGGCCTCCCTGCCGCCCGGTCACTTCTGCCTCCTGGCAAACCTCGGTCACTGTGGGTTTCTGAGGCCGTCCACCTTCACAGGAGCAGAAAAGCCTCATCGTTCTCCCTAGGAGTGGCTGTTGGTCTCGAACTGCTGACCTTGCTAACCCAGCGCATATAGCCCACTACACCCAGCTAGCATAGTCTCAGCCCGCTCACCTCCCTCCACATAGGGCCCTGCGGTGGCTCTTGAACTCACACAGGTAGAAGAAGGAAGGAACCCACAACACAACACCCGCTGGGCCGGTGGGCTGACAGAACCACAGCCTGAACTCCACCTTGGCCTTCAGCCCTTGGCGGTGGCTCCCTGCAGGCAACGCAGTATTCACCTTGGACCCAACACCGACAGGCCCCCTGGGTGCTCCAGAAGCAGTCCACCCCCCTCCACCGAGTGTTCAAAAGCCCCGGAGAAGGGTTTCGGGGTATGGCCTGGGGGCACTTAAGTCGGGGCAGCTGGTCCTTCTGAGCGGCTGCTGTTCATGTGGAAACAACGGACAAGCAGCGGGAACTGCCGGCCAACTGCACGACACCTGTTCTACGTTTAGGTGTGAGCTCTCGGGTGTCAGCCGGGAGGGGCCCCTTTCAGCGGCCATGTCCCGAGGACCTGGGACATGGGCCCTGCGGTGCCCCGTCTGCCCTACCGGCCCTTGTCCCACGGAAGAGGCCCCACCCAGGCTGACAACAGCCATCAGCCAACCCTTCACATCCGTGTGTCAGGTATGCTCCAGGGACCACCAGTCCCACAGCAGTCTGTCTGCCTGCCTGCCTGTCCCTGTGTCTGAGGGATGTGCTGCGGTTGCCACAGCTGCCTGCTTCATGGCAACTAACTGCTAAGACAGGTGTGCCGGGGGTGTGGCCATCGCCACCATGAGGGTTTGCGAGGCCTCCGTGCTCCGCCCAGCTCCTCTGCACCTGCCGTGCTTGCTCCCCACCCCACCCCAGCTCCGACGGCTTTTTGTGTGTCTCATTACCAGGACGCCCAGGACAAGCACAGCCAGAAGGCACGAGGCAAAAGACAAGTGCTGCTCCCGGGGCCCCAGGCACCAGTCTCGAGGAACATGTTTAAACAGGCCTCTGCCTTCAGAGGGCGAGGCAGACAAGGTGTTCCGGGCGCGTGTCTGTGTCTGTCTCCTTAGGGCGCTGTGTTTGCTGTTGTCTTTGTTTCTTCTAGTCACCAGTTTAATTTGTAAAAAGATGACATATGTTCATGTACAGAAACACGTTAAAAATAAAGGTTGCAGGCGGCTTAAATAAGAAACAAAACACATACACACACACACACACACCCCAAAACCATCTACAGAGAAGTCCCCGGATGATGGGGGTGCGTGGCAGGGGAGGCAGGAATTGAGGAGAAAAGGTTCTGCAGTGGGTCATGCAGACAGCCCACCCACGGTCCTGCTGTGATGGAAGGATTACACGGCATGGCACGTGAAGTGCATGCCGGTCAAATGATTTTTAAAACTGAAGGAACACGGGTCCCATGAAAGCAGCGGCTTCTGAGGGGCGCGAGGGTCCCATCGATTCCAGGCAGAGGGTCGGTGAGCTCTGAAGGCTCCGGTGACTGCTCGGTGGGACCCCAAAGGGTTCGTCTCAACAGAGCCACGCAGAGGACTCGGGCGAGCCATCGGGGCTTGTCTTGAAGAACCGGAACTGGAAAGCTGCCCGGGTGAGGAAGAGGCCGGAGAGGCCGTGCTGAGGGGCTTTTCCTGTGGATTCCAGGGCCTGCTCGTTCTCGGAGGGCAGCAGGGCTGTCCTGGGAGTTCCTGGGGAAGCCCACGGACCCCCACATCGTCCTACAGCCCTGATCCGGCCCCCTCGGGCTGCTCTTTGTTCCCCAAACTCAAGAACATTTCGAGGACTGCTCTTTGGGTCTCTTGGAGATGATGTAAATGAGGAGACGTTTTCTTCAGGGACGGGAACGCGGAAGCACCTCCTTCCAAAGGCCACGCTGAGACACAGCCACGTCCTGTCTGGATAAGAACTTGTGGGTTGGTGGCAACGTCTCAGGGCTGCCCGTGCGTGGAGCCTTTGCCGCCGGTGTCTGTCGCTGCCGCCCGCCATGCTGCCCGGCCGTCCTTCTCCGTATGGCTCCGTTCAGGTTCTCGGCTCACAAGAGCTCTTTATTATTCATCCGGGTGGAGGACATTTGGGTTGTTTTCCATTTGGGGGGCGATTTTAAATAAAGGAGCCGCGAACACTTATGGACAGGCATTTGTGTGAGCGCGTGCTCTCATTCCTCCCACGAGCACCCACCAGGGGGGATGTGGTAAGAAGTGTCTTTTTAACTCTGAGGGACACTGCCAGGCTGCCCCCCCTCCGCCCGGTGGCTGCAGCATTCCCTCTGCACTGTCACGAGCCCCAGGCATGGCCAGGGCTTACCTGGGGGCAATTCCACTTTGTCTATGGGAACACCTTTCATTAGACTGGAGTCCCTGGGGGTGGGTGGGGGTGGGGGTGGTCAAGTACTGGACTGCTGGTCTAAAGGTTGTCAGTTCACACCCACCCGGTGACACCTCCCATGCCAGCCGGGCAGTCTGGTGCCCAGCAGTCACAGCCTGGGGAGCCGTTTCTGGTCAGACACACACTGGACTCCACGGCAACCAACAGGAGGCTTGCGGCCTCACTGGCTTCCCTGCTGACTGTTGACACCACGCCAGGCCCAGGGGGAGGGAAGGAGAGAGGCTGGAGGCTCAGATGGCTCTGTCCTCCAGGTGGGGGGGGGTGGGGGGAGAGGGTGGGGATAGAACCAGGCTCCAGGCACTGTGGCAGTCACCATGCCCATGGTTCGGCTGAAGAGAGCAGCTCCATCCCCTACCCTCCACGGGCTGGCAAGGGCCCCCATCCACCTAGTCACGGGGCACACAGTCCATCCGCTGAAGGACCCGAGCTGCTCTGTCCACCTCCCCACAGCGCACTATGCCTCAGTCCAGATGTCTAAAGATGGGGAAGAATTAAGCCCGGGGTATGTCCACTCAGCCCTGCCCAGTGACAGAAGACACGGTTCTTGGGGAGATGGGCAAGGGTCTGAGCAGGTGCAGGCTGAGGGAGAGGAAGTCCCCGGCTGATGACTCCCGGAACATTAGGCCCCCTCACTGCATACACTGGTGGGAAAGCCCTGTTCCCCACACCAGGTGCTGTGCACCCTCACCCTTATACCTGTGGGTGGGAGCCCCGTGCGTGAGGGTCCAGCAGGGGGGCAGGCACTGGTCAGAGGGCAGTGTCTCCTTCAATCCCTTTTGCTGTGCATGGGTCACAACCAACTCGAGGGCCCCTCACAACGAGCACGTCTGAGCCCAGGTCCGGCTCTCGGGAATTCCAGGGGAAGACGGCCCAAGGAGCTGACAAGAGACCAGGCCTCCCGCAGAGCCTTCTCTTAGGGCAGCTGTTCTCCACCTGTGGGTCTCAACCCCTTTGGGGGTTGAACAACCCTTTCACAGGGGTCGCCTAAGACCATCGGAAAGCACATATTTCCGATAGTCTTAGGAAGACAGCTCCTCTATCCGTCTCCAGGCGGGTCCGCCCACATGCAGATACACCCACACAGGAGTACCCGGCATGAAGGCTGTTACCCATGCTACACCATGCTTCAAGACAAAATGTCATTTGTCATTAGAAATAAATAGTTCACAAAATATAATTATGTATTGTTTTTGTGATGAATCCCTATGCCTTAATGATGTTCAGTTGTAACAATGAAAATACATCCTGCATGTCAGATCTTTACATGATGATTCCTTCATCACAGTAGCAAAATGACAGTGATGAAGTAGCAATGAAAATAATTATGGTTGGGGGGCACCACCACACGGATAACTGTATGAAAGGGTCGTGGCATGAGGAAGGTGGAGAACCACTGTTCTAGAGCCAGCACCCTGAATCTGGGCTCCTCGCTTCCTAATCTGTGAGAAAACAGCATGTTTGAGAAAGCCGCCCCCCGCAGCACAGCTGGCAGAGACGTCAGGCAATGCCAGGACGGTCAGTACTGTGCCATTTCCAGTAGCTTAGACCAAGCAATCCTGACCAGAGTTTGGAGAGGTCACAGGTCATGGGACAGTGGGAGGTTTTCATCATGATGGGTTCCCTTGGTGGGGAGTGTGGGGGCCAAAGGGGTGGGCACACCCAGCTGCAGCCCAAGGAGCAGGAGAGAAGGTGTCACTGAGTCACCGAGCAGGCCACTAGCCAGTGGGTGGCACCCAGCATGGGCACAGAGCTGGCCAGCATGAGGGCAGGTAGGGGGGTGCTGAGCCCCAGGGCCTCCTACCGACCGGGCTCCGGGTGGCTGGATGAGCCTCGCTGGGTGGGCCCCATGCTTGCAGCGACCCCAGGAGCAGGCGGCGTCAAGGGGCCCCAGCCAGGAGCGCCAGGCTGAGCAACAGGAGGGAAGGCTGCCACTGGGGAGGGGCTCTAGGCTCACAAACTCAGGGCTCCGCCCCCGGCAGCTTAGCCAAAGCAGCAGTGGCCACAGGGCCGAGCACTGGCTGTGAAGACAAGCAAATCGAGGGAGAGAGGGAAAGAAGTCGGAACCTTCCACAGAACCAACCACAGAAGCCAGCAGGCCTTCCTGCGGCTGTCAAGACGGTTACGTCACGCACCGAAGGAGCCACGGAACAAAAGGAGAGAAGGCAGCCTGGACCCGTCCACCAAAACCAAACCCCACCAAAAAGCACAGACCCTGTCCTTCCACCAGGACACCCACCTCGGCCCCCACCCCAAAAGGAAGAAGCCACGGAATCTTCCAGCAGCTGTGAAAACAAGAACATGCCGAGTGCAGCAGGCCACGGAACCTTCCAGCACCTGTCCGGCAGGGATACTTCAAGTACACCGGAAAGCCATGGAACCTTCCACCAGCTGCAAAGACCAAGATGGGTCAAGTGCAGGCAGAGGCCACCGACCCTTCTTGCAGCTGCAGAGACAGAGTTACATCGAGCACCAGCTGCAAAGGCTCAGAGAGGCAGGTGCCTCGACACGCCACCAGCCGTAACGGCAAGCACACGACGCCGGGCACCTCTAGACACCACAGTGACAGAACTTTCCGCCAGAAACAAACAAAAGAGGCCACAGCACCTCCCACAAGAGCCACGATAAGAAGGCAGACGCCCTCCACGGCCGTGATGACAAAGACCCATCAATGCCCCCAGCTGTCAGTCAAGGGACAAGGACACCTAGATACCAGAGACCCTTGGAGCAGCAGTCAGGAGAAGGGTGCCTCCGGGAAACCCAGAGGCCCCGGAACACTGTCCTTGCTGTAAAGACATCACTGACGCCAGGAAGCCACAGAGACAAAAAGATGCGTGCGTGTTTAAAAAGAAGCACAGACCCTCCCTCCAGCTGCAGAGACCAAGGTGCATCGAGTGCAAACATCTGTACCCAAGAAGCTTCTGCCAGCCATAGAGCCACGACACCACAAGGACAGTGCCACAACAGAACCTTCCGCCAGCCTGGAGACAAGGCTGTGTGAAGGACACACCAAGGGCACCACGATGTGGCAGAGCAGTCACCGATAGAAAAGACAGGGATATGTCAGGCGAACACTGAACCTTCCGGCAGCTATGAAGGCATGGATACAAGGATGACCCTTGAGGGCCTGCCACTAGACACACACATGCACACGCACATACATGTTCTCACCAGGAGGACTGCCACCAGGAACACACACAGACATGCACACATACCCCCGCCATGCGTGAGCACACACACACACCCCAGCAACACACATGCACACATACAAGAACATGCACACAGATGTATATCAACACTGTCACTAACCCCACCACACACGTTCGCCCCAGGGTGAGTGCCACCACACATGCACATACCACTGAGGAGGACCTCCACCAGCCCCTCCACACACAGACACACACCCACACCACGAGGACTGCCACTAGTAACACACATCTACACACATGTACCCATCAGAACTGTTGCCAAACCCTCACCACCACATACACACAGGTACACACATATACACACACCACATACACACCCTGCAGGTGCACTGCCACCAGACACACACACACACACACACACCAGGAAGAGCCCTAGCCCCAACCACACACATGCACACTAACACCCATAGAGAACCACCATAAGAACTGCTATTACACACACACACACACAAACTGCTCCCAGTACACACACTCACACCTACGTGCCTGTACTCACCAGGAGGCCTGCCAACAGCCATCCACTCACACAGGCACAGACACACACATCCACCATACCTACCAGGAGGCCTGCCACCAGACACACACACACTGATGAGACACATCCAGCAAACACACATGCGTGCATGCGCACGCCCACCAGGACTGTTAACTGACACGCAGACCCACCTGGAGCACTACCACACGCGTGTGCACACACACCACTACACACTCACACAAGAGGACGGCCACCACATGCAACACAGACACACACACACAACCAGGAAGACAGCCACCAGCCGCACATACCTACTAGAAAGACTACCACCGTCCTCCTGGCCTCCTGGTGGACAGCTGGGGGTCGCAGGGAGAGTCCTCCTGATGGCTACCGTCAGTCTTGTGTCTGCATATGTGATGTGTCTACATACGTGACTGGTATACGGCTTTCTGCTGTGCGTGTGTGGTGCGCTAGCTGGTGGCAGTGTTCCTGCTGGTGTGAGGGTGGGTGCCTGGTGGCAGTACTCCGGGTGAGCATGTGTGTGTCTGTGTGCGCCCACAGTCCTTCCAGTGAGTACTTGTGGGTGTGGGTGCACATGGGGGACTGGTGACAGGGCTGTAAGTGTGGGGTCCCCCAAGACTCGTCCCGCACCCACTCAGCGAGCTGGGGAAGCCTTCCGTGGCCTTGGGCTGCACCTGCCGTGCGTGGCAGGTGGGTGTGTCCTCCCGGGTCTCCGGCACCGCATCACCAGGAAGCAACAGACTCAGAACAAGTTGAGGTTTATAAACCACTACACGTCGTGCTGGCATCGGCCTGAGCCCACTGCCATGGTCAGCCTCGTGGGGGGTTATAGCCGCGCCTCGACAACCATGACCCAAGGTCAGGGCTCGTCACGTCACCAGCAGAGAGAAACCAGTAGCTGTGCCGCAGACCCAGGCGCTGTCGGGAGAGGCCAGCCGGGCACCAGGGGAATAACAGCAGGAGAGAAGGGGCTCCCCTCCGGCCGGCAGCAGGAAAAAGACGTGGGAGTCAGGCCGAGCTTCTCCCACGAGCCATCCCAGGGGAAGGGAGTTTCTCACAGCCCAGGGCCGGCAGGGAGACGCCCAGCTGTCAGCACTGACTGCTCTTCTGCACTGCCCACCACCCTACCACGTAGTGCCGTTTCTTTTCTAAGGCTGCAGCAAGAGCTGCCTCCTGAGTCACACCCGGCTACGCCTGTGTCTCATGGACACTCAGGCCCACGTTTCGAGACACAAACGGACGACAAGAACAGCCTGCTCACTGGATTCGCAGGACCCAGGATCAGAATGCTCCAACACGGAAGTTTACTGGCTTCACAGGGAGCCCAGCACACTGGACGAGACCAGAAATGCGTGTCTGCGACCTTCCCGCTGCCGTGGAGAACTGGCACGCACCCCGGCACAGACGTGGCCCGGCCGGGGGCCGCTCTCCACGGGAAGCAGCCCAGGCAATTACCTCCCAGAAGCTGTCGCTGGACACTTCGACCCCCACGGAATCGTCGTACGTGACAGACATCTCTTCAGAGGGTGAAGGAGCGCGGGGAATGCTTAGATCCGGAAGCCGCTTCCGATGCTCAAAATGTGGAGACAAACCTACAAAACAAAAGCAAAATGGCGTTGTGGTTTCGGAACCCCCGGGTAAAGTGCATGAGCATCTCCATGGTGTGGACCACCTCCTGTTTCTGGCGTGGCCTTTGGTACAGGGCCACCTGCATGTCCGCTGCCAGCAGAAGAAAGTCAGTTGATCCCAAAAAACTCTGGGCACTGACAAGTGTGTGCGTCTCACACGAAGAGGTGGACGTGGCTTTCCACCACCTTTCCCCAAAAGCTGGAAGAACTTTCCAACGCCTCGCGTGTGTTCTTGGGCCACGCGGCTGAGCACCTTAGCGACACGGGTGGGAGGAGACCCCGTCCACCACCCAGCAGCCGCAGCCGCGGGGAAGGGCCTTGGGGTGAATTGGGTCAAGAGGGCGCAGTCCCAATTATGACACCTAACTGCCGTCTCCAGGGACCCCACCATATTCCACTTGTGGGGTACTGTCTACCCCGCAGGCCGAGTGATCTCAGTCCCCTACTGAAGCCTGGCCAAAGCTCGTGCAGAAAAAGAACTTTCAGATGTTTACAAAGCTGGACCCATTGACTCTGAGCCAGAGATTCTCTGTCCCCAAACTCAGGCCAAGGTAAGAGTGGGGATGAGTCTTCCTGATGCGGGAAGGCCTCGATGAACCCCCCCCCACACACACACACACCGATCATGCAAATGAAGTGGCCTGTTCCACCCACTGGGGCTTTCTGGCTTCTTGGTATAAAGGTGACCACACCATGCTTTCTGTGTTCCTGTGTTCAGCGCACAGAGCCACTTTCTGCATTGCGCTGTGCAGGGTGGTCTAAGCCTCAGTTCAGCAGTGGGAGATGGGGCCAGCCGGGGCACCGTGACCAGCCCTTGGTTTGAGTGCCGACGTAGTGCCAGGCTTTGCTCGAGGTATCGGCCCACATGTCACCATTTGATAGCACCCGAGTCCCTGTGACACACAGCCCAGGGCAGCAGTAAGGACGCAGGGTCTGCCTGGGCTCCAGTCCACCACCCACCATTGGTGAGCAAGAGGACGGTCGGATAAAGGTGTCATAAGACATGGGACCCAGCCAGGGCCCGGTGAGAAGGACACACAGCCCCCGGGCAGGGTGCTACAGCTGTCTTGTCTGCAGAGTGCACCCAGGAGCCCCCAGAGGGCAAGACCAACACCGAGTCACGGCAAGAGTCCAACAGCATTGCTGCTGCCAATGACAGTGACCCTGAGGCCCTCGCCAGCCCTCCCGCCCTATTTTCCACCGGGCTCATCCCCATGCTGCTAAGTGGAGCAGGGTGGTGCTCAGAGAGCGGGAGTCATTGGCCTCTGGTCACCCAAGTCACAGATGGGGATGCCCAGCGTTTGAGGACATGTCCTCTCCTTATACCAAGATTCGTTCGGTAATGACCTTGCTTTTACAGAAAGCAGATGACCAGAAGAGCAGGTCCACTTCCCGACATCCTCTTCCTCTGCAGGACCTGGGGGACAGGATTCTGCTACAGTCACCGGCCCAGGGGGCAGCAGTGAGCAGGTTTCTGCCCAGAGCGGCTGTGCCAGGCTCCTCAGGGAGCTCCAGGGTTCTGACTCCAGCAGGTCTGAGGTCACACCTGCTCCAGCTGACCACGGTCACAGGTGCACAGCAGGGGAGGTCCCTGGCCTGCTCTCATTCCCTGTGTTCAGGCCCCATGATCCTCCTCCCCGCTCCCACCCCGATCTTGGCTGCCCATTGAGGACCCAGTACGCCCCCTGGCACCCATGCGACCACAGCCCCTGTCTCACCACAACTGAAGGGGGTTCAACTGCGCTCATGGATGGTGTCAGAGTACCCAATAAGCAAGGCTGACCAGGGCTGGCTTGGTAACCTGCAGTGAAGGCTCCCATGTCCCCGGCACATCAAGGCGTCTGCTTGTAGGCCTGGCTGGCAGCTGTCTCTCTCCCCAGCTCCCCACCCCCAAGCTTCCAATGCCATCGAAGCAGCTTCTCTCTGATAATCCCGGTCATGGGCCGGGCGCCCAGGGAGCAGGACAAGCAGGCGTTCGCTTGTGCCAGGTTACTAATTGGGAGGGAGTCGTGGCACCATGGACTTGAGGTGACCACTGATTGGTAAGCAGGCACCAGCCAGCCTGTGCTTCCCTGGCTTGTTGGGCAACCTGGCGCAAAGGGCTCGTGAGCCTGGACTGTTTCCTGGAAGGCTGGGGGGTCCAGTCCGTGCACAGGTGCCTCAGACGCAAGGCCTGGTGCTCTGCTTCCCTGGAAACCCCATGAAGCCTCGTTCTAGCCTGCACATACGGGGCCGCTGGAGACCCCATGCCGAGGCTCTGCTGTCTCAGGGCGACACCGAGGCCGCGGGGGAGAAACCCATCGCTTCTCTCCTCTGCTCTGCATGACACGATTAACCGTTCTAAAAGGTCACTCTGTTTACCGCTCCGAGAAGAACTGATTTCTGCATACTGGCCACTGCGCCATTTCTGAAAAACTGACCTATCCGAGGGGAAGCCAGAAGCTGTTGCTGCCAGGGGGAGGGGGAGAGGGGCAGGTCCCACGGGCACAGGTTTACTCTAAGCAGAGTGGCTGCAGGCAAGGTCTCGCAGTCTTCAAACACGGAGGAAGGCCCACTCGGAGCAGTGGCTTCTGAGGGGGTCCGCTGGACCGAGAGGTCAGCTCAGGAGGGTGTGGCAACTGTCTGGAGACTCCAGAGGGGTCAGTCACACGGCTAG